TATTTCTTTATTATGATTTTTAAGAATTTTCTAAGGGCACATACACTTACAAGAGAGAGAGACAGAGAGAGACAGAGACAGAGAAAACTGCCAGGTCTAGGACTCAACCCATGATCGATCGGTCATATGGGAGTCCAGCACTAGTCCACACCACCTGCTGGGCCCTTCTTATTTTCTTGATCCACTCTAGTTCACCCTTCAGGTCTCATATATCTTACATTTTTTACCTTGCCTTGATTTTTTCCTCAGAACTCAAACATATGACATTTTATATATGTTCAATATTTGGCATCAATTTATTTCCTCTCTCCTTACACCAACATGTAAGTCCTATGAGGACAGGGGTATCCTTTTCTTCACCATCTCTGGAGCATCCAGAACACATAGGACACATAAGGGGAAGGGACCAATGAATATCTCTTGAATAGGGAATGATGAAAGATCTCTTAAATTGTATTCTGCTTTTACCATTATACATGAATGAGAAAAAGATACAGTGCAAAATAAATGACGTAACTTGCACCCTAAAATTAAAAAAAGAACGAGTACATTGAATACACTAACTTCTCTGCAGTTCTCCAAATGACCCAGCATAAGATATTTTAACAAATTCTATACCTATGTCTGATTCATCTGAAATAACCAATGGATTCAAAAGTGGAAAAGAGAAGGAGGAGGTAAGAGAAAGATGCTTATCATTTATTAAGACAAGATTGTTCACTAATAAGACATAAAATGAACAAAGACCATAAATAAATTCAGAACTGAAGAATTCCAGATAACATGCTCTTGTCTGAAGGGGATTTATGATGATTTGGGGGAATTCTTTCCACAAATTTTTTTACTTTGTTTTAGCAAGTCATCTGGATTTATTTTCTGTATTTGGAAACCAAATTGATTCAGATCTCTTTGAAGGCTCATCCTCAGTGAGGCTGTTAGGACACTGCTGCTCAGAAGTTGAGGCCACATAGGAGGCTCGGGCTCAATTCCCGGCCTAACCAAAATAGACTGAGTGCTGGTGACTTACACGTGTGGTCCTAGGAGGCTGGGGCAGGAGGATCACAAGGATATACCTATCAGAAATCAATTCTCTCTCTCATAAGAATGCTTTAGACTAAAAAATGTATTTAGTTGCTGGAAACTTAGCAAATCTTTCAAAGATTCTCCAGAGTGAAATAGTGCTCAATTTTGAATAAATGGAAAGCAATTTCATGCATTTATATTGTTTTGTAATAATAGTGTAATTGCTACAATAAAGAACACATATCGTATTGGTATCTTAGGGTTATGATCACCCTAATGTATGAGAGGTGAGTGCCAACTTGAGGGAAATATAGTGGCCAGTGTGATGCTTGAGGTCTTTGAAAGCAGAGGGAGTGGGTCAGCCAGGTGGTGTGGAGGATAAGGTAGCTGAACGCTTTTGGATACATATTTAAGAAGTGGGAGAACTGAAGCACAAATAGCAATTAAGGGCCTGACTTTAGAGAGAGAGACTATGGGGCTCCCACGTGGCCAACTCTGTGGTTTGAGTCCTGGACCTGGTGTCTTGGAAAACATGCCAGGCACGTGTATGTGTGTTCCCAAAATCATGACAGGAGAATGGAGAAGGGACTGCAGTGTGGCCATCCCTCTTGGATGGGTCTTCATAATGGGGCCCTGCACAGAAGGTACCTATAATAGACACCCTCTTGGGGGGTCATTTTTCACCCTTCCAGCCTTTCTCTCTAGTGCTCTCTGTCTCCGTACAACACATGCACCATACTGGGAGGAAAAAAAGTACAGAAGGAACAACACATTAAATTAAAAACATAAGTCGTTGGGGCCAACAGGTGGCGTGGTGGTTAAAGTGCTGGACATTCCCACATGACAGACCATGTTTCGAGTTCCAGACCCAGTAGTTTGCTTTTTCATTTTCCTTCTGTCTGTCTGTCTTTCTCTGGTCAAATTAAAATAGACAAATGAATAAATAAAATTAAATAAATAATTCTTAAAAAAAATAAGTCGTGATTAGTTTTACTGATACCCTACAGAAGAATAGAAACTAATCTAAATACATCTAGACCTACATTAAAAACACCTAGCCATTTTATACTAGATATTTTCAAGTGCTAACAAGATTAATGTTTAAGAATATTGACTGAACATAACAGTAAGGTATTTCAATCAATATTCACCCAGCCACTAATTATATATATATTTACTGAGTGGTAATTTATATGCTCTATGCTAGGCATGTGGATATAGTAGTGAATAAAGCATGTGATTTTGCACCACAGCTTTACATTCTAGGGGAGAACAAAGTCAACATGTGATTTAGTGCAAGACACATGTACACTACATATGAAAGAGATGTCCTAAGTGCCATGGAGTTAACTGTAAGAAAAAAGAACAGGAAGTGCTAGTAGAGTTTCCCAGGACCTCACTGCAAAAGTGACAGCTGAGTAAAGACCCAAAGAGCTAGAGGAAACCTAAATACTTAAGAAAAGAATGTATCAGAGGCCTGGGATAGGTCTTTTGTTAGTGGCATGGCTCAGCAAAAGTATAGACGATACGTTCTTACCAAGGTGAACTTTCGAAGCATTCAAAAATACATATGTATATATATTCTGATACGATCACCTTCCCTAAACTCTGGACCCCTCCTTCATGAATGCATCATGTTGCCACCCGGTAGGCACCCTGGCTAAGCAACAAGCTGGAAGGACGACGTGAAGACAGACCTTCATGGTAACACCCAGACCTGGGGTATGCAAAGATGAAACTTCATAGTCCACATGTAAAGATGGAATGGTGTATTCTGACTGGAGTTAGCCCCAGAGATAATGAGAATGCCAGGACAATTCAGGAAAAGGCTGACCCAATGTAAGGTAATGGGACAGACTGAAATCCCATAGACCATCCAAGAATTAACAGGGTAAGGAAATACTGAGGCGGCCAAGCCAAGCACTCCATGGACCTTCTCAGACTAAAGCTGCCTAACCTTCCCCCATCAAGAGGGTTTGGCCTAAATTCTTAGAGCAAAAATAACGACTCCTTGGTTTTGATTAAAAAAAAAAAAAAATGTTCTAAAGGATGACATTGACCATAATCAATTATGTTGTTAAACATTCTGCTAAAAATTTCTTCGGGGGTAAAAACGACATTTTTTTTTGGGATATATATGTAAGATCTTGGAGAACTGAAGCACATACAGCAGTTAAAGGCCTGGCTTGAGAGAGAGAGAGACATCAAGGTTTAAATCCCAGATTTGCCATTTGCTAGGTGGCTGGCCCTGAATCTTTCTTAAGGTCTGTGTTTCAGTTCTCTATTTTTAAAAAAGGGATAACACCTGATTAAATAAGCTAATATTTGATTTAAAAAATGCTTAGAATATTGGCTTATACATAAGAAACATAAAATGTTTTTAAACAAAATAAAATAGACTATAATTTTAAACTTCCTTTGCAATATTGCTTCCAAAGTCTTACTCCTTTCACCTTCAAAGAATAAAGATCTACTGTCATTTCCTGAGAAAATCTCTTTTACTCAGAAATATTTAAAACAGAATTCTTTTGGAAGTCTAGATACTGTCATGTTTATATCAAATGTTTAACAGAATTTCAGAGTGAGTGACATAAAAAATAGATGACCCAAAGATTATCAAATGAATACTTTATTAGTCATAACACTTACAAAATAAATTTCTTTTCCTCATGGAGTTACCAGATTTTAAACGCAACCAACACTTTCTCATCCTTACAACTAAGATATGTAAAGAAATTATTAAATGCCATAATTTTTGTTCAAGTGCTTTGTCACTCAACTCACAAACCTAGAATGCTATTAATCTACAAGTCTGAGTATTCACAGTTAGATGAGTTTTAGGCTTGGTTCTTAATGATCTAGAAGCAATCCATTTACAGAAGTGCATTTTAATGAAATCATTCAATTTAATGTCACCAAGCATGGGCCTGTTACACCTTAGAAACAATAATAAAATCTCAAAACTAAATTCTAGCAGACTGACTTTAAATGATCCCAGCTAGAATAGACTATATATCCTTATGGCACATTTGTGACTTCATAATAGATACAGTTCATAATGCAGGTTTAGGTGCATGGGAGTCAGATATTACAGAAACAAGATAACGTGAGTCTTAAGACTGATTTCTTCAGCCCCATATTGAAACACATCTTTTGTCTTTATAATTTCACCACAAATGAAGCTCTAACAAAGTTACTTCTAGGGGGTTATTCAATTATCAGCATTTGATCTTTGAGCATTGGTAATGCTACTACCAGGCTGTTAGAAAAGTCATGACATTTTTTTTATATGCAAAAATGCATCCTGACTTTTCTGACAACCCAGTAAGTGCATACATGCTTTATGTTCAAGAAATCCAATAGCCCAATTCATCCATGGCACTCTGTACATATTCCTCAGACAGAATCAAACAACTGAAAGTACAGAGCAATGTGGGCTAGCCCGTGGCCTGATGGCTAAGGAGCTGGATCCCACATGGCTGAATTCACAGTTTGAATTCTGGACCTGGCAGCTTGAAAAACATGTTGGGTGGGACCAGCAGATGACATAATAGTTACATTGCTGGACTCCCAAGTAGTGGACCATGGTTTGAGTCCTAGTCCTAGAGGCTCAAACTCATGCTGAGTGCATTTGTCTGTGTGCCCAAAATCCCAAGAGGAGAATGGAGGAGAAGAGATTGTAGCGTGGCAGTGCCCCTCGTGTGATTTCTTGCTTTCTGTTTCTCTGTCTCTCTGGCAAGCCCTCATACCTTATAGCAAAAATCTCTCTAAAAAAAATAAAATAAAGGAAAGAAAAGAAAAACAAGTTAGAAATGTTGTATATGCATGCCCAAAGGCTCAAAAGGAGGGGCACAGAGAAGAAAAGAGATTGTGACGTGACCATTCCATGGGGGGATACTTTCTTGCTCTTTCTCTTTTGCCCCCTGGCAAGTGCACATGCCCCCTGGCAAATTAATAATAATAAAAAAGAGCAACCCCCAAAGCCCTTTATTCCCAGAGGTAGCCTTCTTGGACTATGACAGGTACCTTGCTTGGACAATGTTGGGGGAACCATAGCCTAACTCTAACTTGCTCTCCCATTCAAGCCATTTGACACCGTTCCATGACCAGAATCTTTACAAATGTGTTAAAATAATTTTCTGTGCTATTCAGCTAAAGACAGTTTTTGTGATGGCTATCGTTTTAAACTGACTGTATCCATTTGTAACCAATGCAAAAAAAAAAACCCAAAAAACAAACAAATAAAAAAAAAAACACATATATCCGGGCTACTATCAAAACATGAAGAATCTATAACTTTGTTATATTTAATACTCTATTTAGATTTAACTCAGAAAGTAATGCAAAATAACTAGAAGTAAAATATTAATTAACTTTGCAGAGAGCCCTATTTGGAGAAGACTCACATATCCACACATAAATATATATATATATTCATGCACAGGGCAAAAAACTGTACTCTGAAACATAAACAAAACTAAAGTAAGACACAAGCAGCTAGATACCAGTTCCAGTAGTGATGAATGGTCTCTAGGGTTTCCATTTTAAGGACTCTCAGATGAGTCTTGCTCAGTTGTTAGAAGATCATTAGTTTGATTAAGCAACTAGGGTTTACTTCATAAATTTTTGTGTACCGAAGACTCTGCTTGAATTAGTTTGAGAAACTCTACAGCCCTCCAAGGGTAAGTATTTGACCATTAACAAAAGGCAATGTGATTATTGCATAATGTGACTAAATATTATGTGACTTATCTAATTTATAACCTTTCAAGATCAGTTCAGTCAAATAGAATACATAACTGAGGTTTTATACCAAGGTCTACAAACTATAACCTATAAGCTGAATCCAGCCTGCCCCTAGTTTTATAAAGTCTTATTAGAACCTGGGCATACTCATTCAAGTACACATTGGCTATAGCTGTTTTCCTGCTACAAGAGCAGAGCTGCAACAGAGACAAGATTGCTCACAAAGCCTAAAATATTTACCATCTGGCCTATTACAGAAAAAGTGTCCTAATCCCTAAAGGCTGGAGTCAGTGGAAAGCCTATTTGACTTTATTTTTTTAAGGACATTTTAGTTACCTATTAAAATTAAGGTCCAGGTGACGCTTAAAAAAACTAAATGGATATTACTTTTTCATGGTAAATATCAGTGTGTTTTGTGGATAAAAAAATTCCTAAAAAAAAAAAAGAAAAAAGAAAAAAGAAAGAAAAGAAAAAAGATGGAAAATTAAAGGTTATTTTCCTGTTTAACACCATAATAAAATTAGAATTCTATCCATGAAAATAAACACTCACACTTAGATTCTCTCAATATACTAAACAAATTATTTTTGAAATGTTATTAGTTCTGGACAAAATGGTATCTAAATTGATCAGACATACAAAGTAGACAAATAAAACTAACACATGACTGTTAGTTTCCGAGGAGTGTCACGGTCGCCATCTTCGTAAAGCCAGACCCAAACTGCAACCATAACAAACTGTTGTCACAAAGGCAAAAATCTAAGGAAAAAAGAAAAAAAAGTTGATATCAGCCTGATAGCACTTTAATGTAGTACTGTTCTAAGGGACAACTACATGATAAATGACCAACCTTGACAAAGATCCTTCAAGACTTATAAAAATATTTTATATGGATCTCTTTTTTTGATGATTTTGTACTACTGTTTTATTCCTTCATACTATTATCTGTTCCTTTTAAAATCTTAGCCATGAATAATTTTTCATTGGTAGACAGACTCATGTTGAACATTTGTTCACATCGCGAGCTCAATTATTCAGAATTTGTGAAATCCTACCAATTGTATTAAAAAATTCCATATGACCAATTTATTCATAGTGGCTTCACAGTTAAAGAAGACAGCAAATACAAGAACCTGAGGATGTAGGGAATCATTGCTGTGATGGTGGAAACTGACAAGGGAAACCAGAAACCCTGAAATGAAAACTCATGGAAATAAATCCTTGGGTTGTATCTTTTTCACATGGGAGACAACCTTCATGCATTAGCCTGTACTCTGCCCCAAGTTACTCTGCTCTTAATTATTTAGTATTCAGTGAGGATTCCTTTAGCAGTGACTATGTGTACATCATTACATTAGGTGTATATAAACAAATATTGTCCTCATCCTTTGAGGGTGATGATCCATTGAAAAGCACAAGACAAAGCAGTTCAATATGATAAAACATTATAATTTAGTTTAGGGATTTTTAACCAGGAAACCACAGCTCTGGGAAAGAATATCAGATTGTTTTTTAAGGATGATTTAATTAATTTTGTTTATTATTATTATTTTTTAAAATTTTCTATAGGGCATGTATGCTCACCAGAGAGAGAGAAAGTGAGAAAGCAAGCATCTAGGTCTGGGACTAGAACTGCAGAATGCCAAGTGAGAGTCCTGCACCTTAACTACTATGTCACCTGCTGGCACTAAGAATATCAGATTTAGCTAAATTATCATTCTGTGATTCCATCCATTCTTCCTCTGCTGGATGTTCCTGTATGATTTTCTAATCTAGACCTTGTCTTCTGAATGAGATTGATCACCTCCCTTTTTCTCTCATTCCATTCCCTCCCTCCCTCCCTCCCTCCCTCCCCCCTCTCTCATTTTCTTTCTCTCTTTTGATCTTTCAAAATTTCATTATTGTTATTGACACATAACTACACAAATTTATGAGCTACAGTGCATTTCTTTAGCACAAGAATGCAATGTATAATGATCAATAATATACCCAACATCTCAAAAATTTGTCATTTGAAGAAAAGATATATTATTTTCATTGGAAAAATTCCAAGCCCTCTCTTTTTGTCCTCTGAGAATATACAGTGAGTCATTGTCAACTGTGTTACCTTGCTATGCTATGTAACACTACAGCTCAGTTCCTCTTAAGTGTCTGTTACTCTGTATCCATTAAGTAAATCCATCTTCTATTCCAAGTACCTAAACTTTGCTTTGTCAAATTGTTAAAACCAGTGGTTTTCCAACTGCTATCTGTGGATCACAAGGATTCTATTAAAAGTGCCTCAGGATGAAGATGGGTAGAAGTGGCTTAATGAAAACCCAGGATGGGTATCCTTCAAGATCCTCTTCCCCACATCATTTATACTTTGATCTTCTACATTTATTGGGTTGTAAGTAAGACTTCATTAGTAAAATACCCCATTTCTCATAAAAGAAAATGTTAAGGGCCAGCAGATGGTGTGGTAGTTAAGGCACTGGATCTCACATGGCCAAATGCATGGTTGGAGTCCCAGATCTGGTGGCTACAAAAGCATGCCAGATGTGAGTGTGTACCAAAATCCAGAGAGGAGAATGGAGGATGGGGTTGTTGTGTGGCCATCCTCCTTGAGGGTGATTTCTACTTTCCCGCTCTCTGTCTCTTTCTCTCAAGCACATACACCCTGTAGCAAAAACAAACAAACAAACAAACAAACAAAAAACCATTAAAATCACTAAACTACAAGCCTTTCAAAGCTATATCCAAAACTCTTTTTCTGTTGTAATTGCACTTTCAGTATAATTCTGACAAATACTATCAGAAACTTGGGAAACTTAGGATAACAGGTCTGGAAAACATCTCTACCCTTCAAAAACCAGACTCTGTATCTATGTTGTCCAAAATGATCCACTAACTACATGTGGTTATTTGAATTTGTTAAAATTTAAATAACAATAAAAATTCAGTTCCTTAGTCATTCTACCTACAGTTTAACTGGTCATTAGGCACATGTGCCCAGAAGTCTCCGCACTGAACAGCACAAATATAGAATGCTCATAGCATTGTAGAAAGTTATATTGAACAGGGCTGCTCCAGAGAGAGATTTCGCTAGCTACATGGGGAGTACTGGGTTGTTTTCAGGCTACCAGAGTAACACAGTAAAACACTTAGGGTCACTAAGTTGATGTACAGTCATATTAAGACCTTTCAGGAAATAATTAGGATTTTTTAAATCTTAAAAATTATCTGTAAAGACAAAAATAATATATTATTTCTTTAAATTACCTATGTCAATACAAAATGATAACTTCTAGTATGTAAGTTAAAGAGGATAAAAAAATTCAAAATAATTCCCCATAGGATTCATTTTGTCGGTATATCACCTATTATATTGGCAGGCATACCTGTCTCCTGCCTACCTGTACTTTCTTTCCTCAGTGGCAGGAACTGCAACTTATTCATTCTAGTACCCAGCAAATTGCCTGCCACACGGTAGGCACATGGGAAATATTCACTGAATTTAAATGGATTATAAACAGGTGAAAGTACTAAAGATCAAAGCTGGGAACAAATCTCCCTCACCTTCATGGACAATTATAAGAAGTAAAAACAATCACAATTCTTTTTACCAAGAAGATTTTGCTGTACATAGCCTTGCAGTACTACTACCCTCTATAGTGTTTATTTTTTATTAAGTTTAGTGAGAAAAAGAAAGAGGAAGCATGTCACCCATGAGGTCACACACTGTGATTCTCCCTTCAGCCTTCCCCGCCAGCCAGAATCACAGGCATGTGTGTAGGCCCAGCAGGTACAGATTGACCTGGGAACCGAACCCTGATCTTCCATATGATCCCAGCTCTGCAGACCAGTGCTCTCTACTGTTCCCATGTGGCTGGGCCAACTCACTACAGTCTGACATTTCTGCTTCCTCTTCATCGCCCATAATACTAGGGATGATAACAGTATTTTGCTCACCGGATTACTGTACAGATAGATGGCTATTGTATGTTTGATGCTAATAAATGATGACTATTACTGCCTGAGGAGTTTCCTAGAGACCTTGACAGTGGAGGGAAGGGCTGGTGAGCACCCTCACTGAATACGTACTGTGGCTGCTACGTTGATGTTATACTGGTTGTCACTCAGGAGTGGCTGCACAGATGTGGTTGTATTGCAATGCAGATCGTGCAGAGATGTGGCTGCTGCTTCTAATAAGAAGGCTCCAAAGTAGAAAACAAACACTGTAAAATGATAGGCAAAATCCTAAAATGGAAGAGAAAAAAAAAGACATCCACAATAAAAAGTAATTTTGTTTTTCTATTCCTTATTTTAAAGAATAAAATTTAGGATCGGGAAGATCAGAACGCTTAATGAAACAATCTTAACCATATTCACTGCTTATTTTTGCAATAACATTTGGCATTGCTTTAGCAATGTCAGGCTGTTAGAATCCCAATGAGGATCAATGACCTATTTTAATTGGAATAGTGGCAAACCTTTTGATACACTAAATTTTATAATAAAACATGTAATTTCAGTTTGGATTAAAATGCCATGGAGGTCAATATTAATTAACATAATACAAAAGGGCATAACATAAGCTGTCTTTAAAATCTGAATAAAATACTATTTGCTATAACTTATTATAGTCCTTACATATTCATACTTACTTTTATCATTATACTTATATAATTATATAAATTTACATTTTTATATACTCTTATAATTATTGTTTTTGACAAATTGTTTTGTCATTAGATCATCATCCCATATTGAAATACATGGAAGACTTATTAAATCATAGTATTCAATGACATTCAGCCTTTTATTCCCTTAAAAATACATAATATATACCTCTACAAGCTCAATTATTTATTATGCTATTGTTTGTGTTGCTGGCATTAATTTGAAGCATAAATATTAAAGTTTACATTGTCTTAATCTGAATTGATCTACCATCATATGTTGCTGTTTCTCTCTTTTAATTGTCAGAGGGTGCATACGCTCACCAGAGACAGATGGGGGTGGGAGGGAAGAGAGGCAGAGAGAGTGAGCACTTCCCCATGTGTGGGAGAAGTTGAGAAAGGAAGCATGTCCAAACATGCTGCAATCCTTTTCCCTCCATCCCATCAGGATTTGGAGCTTACACACACACACACACGCAGTGTGTTTTTTAAGCCACCGGGAACTAATAGGCTGGTTCTGGCCTTGAGAGAAAAAAAGATTAAAGTTTCAGAGAGAGAAGAAAGGGATATGGATTAGACATGAAGTGTGAAGATCTTTCTGTCACATGCTAATACCACCGCTCCAGAAGCTGCACCATGGAATGCCCACAGGCAGAATGACTTTGCCGGCTGAGCCACATGAACTGAGTGGCCACAGTCAGAGGAGCCAATAGCAGGGACTCTCCAGTGCCAAAGTTTGACCTTGCTGCAGCCCCCTTTGAATCTTGAACCTACCACAAAGACCAATGTGGAGTCCTCTACACCCAAGAACACTAACCAGCCATCTGTACGAAACTGATGAAAATTGAACTACTATCTCCCTAGAAGCCAAAATAGTTCCTTGTCATAAGAACAAATGTATGAATTTTTTCCTTCCCTGAGAGGCTCAGCCATCACCTGTATCCAGAAACTTAGAGCGCCTGATCCACAGGTCTCTGATGCAGGAATCCACTTTTCAGCAGAGGAAAGGTGAGAACTGATAGGCATAAAACCATCCAGTTGCTGGCCTGATTGCATCAGACTGGTTCGCTGAAGGCACAGCTTGGGGCATTAGTCTGCAAGGATGGACGGTCATCCTTCAGGATGCTGTAGATACATAAAAGTGTTTTCTGCATGGTGGTGTGTCCCCACTGGAAAAATGAGAACTAAAGTGTGGACGCAGAAGTTTCTCCACTTACTGTCACTCCCAATAAGCTGCTGAAACACTTTGTGATGTCCACCCTCACAGCACTGTTACAAACATATTTTTTTATTGTTGTAACCTTATAATTTCTGCTGTCATGGCAATCAAGTTTTAAACATGTACAGTTGAACATACTCATACTATTCTTTTATCAAAGGCAGGGCTCAGTAAGCATCTAAATGCATGCATCATGTAGAGGCTAAAAGTTTGGCAGTCCTTGGTTCCTCTACATGATCAGAGATCTCAGTCCTAAAAGGAGCATACTCTTGCGAGAGGTTATAACAAGGGTCCCATTGAACCACAAGTTATGGTGACTGCCTGAGAACTATGGACTCTTTGTATCCAGAGACCAAAAGGCAAGACATTGGTAGTTGGTCTTTATCTTCAAGAGCAGGGGAGTTGCTGCTAGAAAACAGGATAGCAGGGAGGAGTACATGTGGCACTGGCGTATGTGCCACAGGAAGTGTGAGAGGGGATGGATGTGGAACTCAGGGACTCTACTTCGCGAGTGGACTCTTGGAACTGTCCTTTTTAATTGTGACTTAAAACAGATGAGTACATCAACATGGGCCTGAAAAAGGTGGGGTTACCAGTGACTCCAACTTCCTCAGGAATTAGTATGATGCATGCTCCAGCAGGCAAACTTCCAAGACCAGTAGTCATGAGACCAAGCAAGAGGAGGATAAAATGGTTATGGGGAGAGAGAGATGATGCTTATCAGTTGTGACCCTGAGATTAACTCCAGTGAAAGGGCCTGGAGTTCATTCCTTTAATTTCTCAAAGTTCTCCTACAGGGAGAAAGGCACATTGGGACTCCGGAGGAGCAACTCCCCAAACACATACGGGAAAGCAGATCCACATGGGGCAAAGAGCAGGCCTTCCTATATGTGTATTTCCTGAAAGACGTTGGATATTCAGCTTTGAAGAACATAGTTAGCAGATAGCCTCTAGCTCCAGTAGATTAGGGTTCTACTGCAGTGTTTAAGCCAAGGCCACTTGCTTCCCGAGTAGCACCCAACTAATGACAGCACAATGGGGATAACAGTGCCTGGTCACCCGTGTTTAACGCAAGACTCATTGGGGCAGGCGATGCTCCGGAGCACTATGTTGATTTGGCCAAGTCTTTGGAGATGTGTACACACAACAATACTTTTCTGCCTTATTCTACTTCCTCCCCCATCACCTTTTATAGGTATTATGCTCTTTCTTTCCTCTCAAAAGCTCTCTTGAACTAAATCCATCTTAGCCTACTACCCAGTGGACCTGACATGACACATATGCTGTTCTAGTGTGTTAAGCTTTCTTTTCTTGGCCATTACTTTTAATTAATATGTCAATTGGGTAATTATTATTTTTCCTTTTTTTTTTTTCCTTTCCCCCGACAGGACACATGTACTCACTGGAGAGAGACAAAAAGAAGAGAGGGAAAGTGAGAAATCAACCCCTGGTATGATAGCCATGCCATAATCAATTCTCCTCCACTCTCCTCTCGGGAGTTTGGGCACACACACATGTCCAGCATGTTTTTCTTTCTTTCTTTTTTTTTTTTGCAGAGGTTTTTGCTATAGGGCATGCGTGCTCACCAGACAGACAGAGAGAGACAGAGAGACAGAAAGCAAGAAATCACCACCCAGGAGGGATGGCCACGCCGCAATCCCTTCACCTCCATTCTCCTCTCGGGATCTTGGGCACGCACGCACATGCACCTGGCATGAGTTTTAAGCCATCGGGTCCAGGACGTGAACCGCGGTTGACTACGTGGGAGTTCAGCGACATAGCCATCATGCTAACTGCTGGTCCCTCCAGCATGTTTTTCAAGCTGCAGAGTCCAGGACTCGAACTGTGCAACCAGTCATGTGGGATCCAGCCATCTTACCCTCCACTTCATTTCCAGGCAAAATAGATCTTTCCTTAGAATATTCCTCCCTGAAGACCAGCAGATGATGTAATGGTTATGTAGCTGGATTCCCACGTAGTCAAGTGCAGTTCAAGTCCCAGACTCAGTGACTTAAAACTCACACTGGCACATGTGTGTGCATGCCCAAAATCCCAAGGAGAGAATGGAGGAAAAGAGATTGAGACATGGCCATCCCTCCTGAAGGGATGATTTCTCACTTTCTGTATCTCTGGCGAGTGTACACGCCCTATAGCAAAAATCTCTCAAAAAAAACAAAGCAAACAAACAAAAGAACCAGAATACTCCTCCTCCCTATCCCTAAAAGAGAATATAAATATGGACTCTCTTGTTTAAAGTTAGGTAAACATGGTATTACAAAGAGACTTCAGAAACTCTGTGGAAAATGAAATTAAAATTTTCAGTCTATTTTAGCACAGAAAACATTTTTAAATCCATGAATAGTTGTTTAATAATACAAATTTATTTTCCTTGAACCTTTGGTAGACACTTCATATTTTCTCTAAGCACACACACACACACACACACACACACACACACACAGAATATTTTAAAACTAAATTCTCCTTCTTTCCCTCAGATAAGTAAGGGACAAAATTTTAGTATCTGCTATATGTTATTCCATAGTATTGGGTCATCAAAAAAGCCATGACATATTTTCTATGCAAAAATATATCATAATTTTTCTGATAATTGTACCATTTATACCAAAGCTCAAAAACTGGGAAAAAAATTACTAAAGATATCTACAATGAAAGTTAATTTTATGATCAATAAAAATAAACACATATTGTAGTCAGTATTCTATGAAAAATACTGGTAGAGAATGAATTTCTTATCAAAATGTATTTTTACTTCCTTTAAACTTAGGATATGGTGGCATTAAACTATGATCACAGAGAAAAAACAATTTTTTTTGAGTCATTAATGTCTAAGAATTCCAGAATGCAACAATTAAAAGTGATTACCATCTGCTGATGGCTCCATGATATACATGGCCCACACACTTTCCTGGCTGAGCATTTACAAGAATGTACCAAACCTATCAAAAACAAACAGTGCCATCAAAAATAATTGAGTGGAGGGGAACCAGCAGTTAGCGTAATGGCTATGTCGTTGGACTCCCACGTAGTCGACCGCGGTTCGCATCCCGGACCCGGTGGCTTAAAACTCACGCAGGGCGCGTGTGCGTGCGTGCCTAAGATCCCGAGAGGAGAATGGAGGAGAAGGGATTGCGGCATGACCATCCCCCCTGGGGGGTGATTTCTCGCTTTCTGTCTCTATGTCTCTCTCTGTCTGGCGAGCGCACGCGCCCTACAGTGAAAATCTCTCCAAAAAAAAAAAAAAAAAATTGAGTGAAAAAAAAAATCTACAACAAAATTTTGGTGTACACATTACTATTAGTTTCAGTCTCATTTAGTTTTTCTTAACAAATTCCTTGAAGAAAAAGTTGACTCTTTCAAAGCATGCCCACCAATGATAGGCCCTAAACACACACGCGTGCATGTGCGCACACACACACACACACACACACACACCCCACACTGTACCATGTGGCATGTGTTGCTGCTACCACTTTCTTCTGGATTTTTTTCTCTTCTGTAAGAGTGAACTATTCCAGCTGAAAAAACCCACAAGATAATTTTTGCAGGTGATCCATAGAAGAGACTGATAGTTCGGATTTCAACTAACACTTTCATATAGTGGTGTAATTAAAACAATAACACATACTCCTATTTTATTGTCCGAACATCAGAATATAATGCTACAAATGGATAGGATATGCAAATTTAAGAAAACTAAACAATTAATAAGGATATTAATGTTTATACTCAATATCAAAGATAAGAATATAAGCACAAGAGAAAAAAAGAGGGTGTAGACATGTGTTTAATAGACCAAGAATGGTATCCCAAAAATATTTAAATATTGGTAAGTTATATATGTCAATCACTTGGAAAGAATGCTGCATGCTGCAAGATCCTGAGGATACTACTTCTCCAGGTATGAACCTTTTAATTGCTTGACTACTAAGAGATTCAGGAAGGTCCCTGGAGAAGGGCCAGGGTGGTGGTGCCACAACATTCAGGGAGATGCGGTCAGTTGGGCAGTGGGTATATGCTAACCAGTACCAGGTACCAACAGGGCTGCAGTGGTACATACTGGCCCAATATCACCTCTGAGCCTGACACTACAAAAAAAGCTAGTGGCCCTTACCCACATGAGGGACCGACTGATCCACACATTATGATGGGAAAGTCAGGCTTTTAGAGAGAAAAGATTAGGCATCTATCTATAACCTAAACACAGAATTTTGATCTTCATCACTTGACCAAGTATTAGAAATATTTTCTCATCCTAAATGGGAAATTAAGGCAAAAATGTAGAACTATACTATATCAGCAACCTAAGAAGGGGACTTGCAAAGTTCCAAACTGCCAGCTTCAGCATGTGAAGAATTACATTGGTTATCCTTCGTTCCCTATAACCCAGACACAAAGCTAAGCACTTTAAAACACATGATCTCCATTATTCTGTGAGAGCATTGCGTGAGATAGGTATTATTACCATTTTACAAAGGCAGAAATTAAAGTTCAGAGAGGTGAATTATTTTGCCCAAGGTTACACACTAAGTAGATGAGACCAAAGCTCAAAGCCTGTGCATAATTGTTAAGCACTTCACTCCACTTTAAAAAATATATATTATTTTTATTTACATTTAATCATTGTACATTGTTACATACAATATGGTTTATCTAAGCATGCATATACACATGCCAATCAGACCAAGGATATTACCATATGTGTATATACCACACACACACACACACACACACACACACACACATATATCATTTTCAATAGATAACTTTACATTCTTATGTCTGTTAAACTCCACTTTCTTGTGAGCATTATACGAAGCCGAGCCATTTGCCCCTCTGCCGGCTGAAAAAGCAGCCTTCGCTGCTGATAATGTGATAAAGATCATTTCAAGTTCTCTTAAATTCCATAAATACAACAAAAACAGAAATTTCCCTCTAATATCTGTCCCAAAAGGTGCTATTATACTTGGAACATATAAAGCCTGACTAAAGATCTGATTTAAGTTCATAAATACCAAAGTGGGATTAGAACTTAAGGGGGTTCGTCATGAACTTCACTAAGGCACTACCTACCATGGACTGGAGTTCATGCTCTATTGGGCCATTCTGAAATAATCCCAGAGAATGAATGACCACAAGCTTGAAAGAGAAGCCCCATAAATTATACAGAAAAACAAGAGAGCTGGTCACATTTTAATGCTGTCATAATTTTTAAAAGCTGTGTTGACTGCAAACTCACATTTTTATTTCTAGAAGGTGGAAGTTCTTGCTAGAGAAAGGATGAGAGAGAGGTGAGAGAACTCCATAATCCCTTTTCCTCCATGTCTCCTTCACATCAGGATTTGGAGCCTGGAATGTTTTGCAAGCTTCAGGGACCAGAATTTGAACCACGGTGAGCAATGTGGGATCCAGCTCCCAATACACTGAACCTCATTGCTGTGACATGGGGATGGCCTGCAAATTCATTTTTTTAAACTCACTGATTCTTATTAATTTAGGATAGAAACTCATTATAAATATAAAATGTTCATGAGGGCTAGAGAGCACTGTTTCTACAATATAAAGCTCTGCTAGACTGACCCAATGAGAAGGTCCAGGTTGTGTATCCCAAGACTTCTCTCTGCAGGCTGGGTACTCGGGTCACATGATCCATGTGGGCTGGGTGAGGCTTGGGATGGTAGAATAAAGACCCTGCAGGCAGTGCCTCGCTCCTCTTCTATCTCTCCTTGTTTCCCTAGCTTATGGGAGATATAAATAAATACATTTTATCTATTTATTTATTTATTTATTTATTTATTGGGAGAGGTTTTAAACATTCTCTTTTCTTTTTTAAGTATTTGGAGATCAGAATACATACATAATTACCTGTTTTTCTGGAAAAAAAATCTGGAGCTAAAATCAATGGAAAATTTCAAGATACATGTTATGACATTTATCTTCCAAAGGCATCTGTTTAATAGTTTAATAATGGTTGTGAGGCCAGCAGGTAGTGTGGTGTTTAAGGTGGCTGGATTCCTACATGGTCAAGTGTAGTTTGAGTCTTGTACCCAGCAGCCTGAAACTCCCGTTGGACATACGTATGTGTGCATGCCCAAATCTGAAGAGGAAAATGGACGAGAAGGAATTGCAGTGTGGCCATCCCCTCTGAGTGGTGATTTCTCATTTTCCTTCTCTCTGTCACTACCTGGCTCTCTCCAGTGAGCTCATGTGCCCTATGGCAAAACCCTAAAATAATAATAATAATAATAATAATAATGACAATAATTATAATAATGTGCAATTCATTTGTTATATGAAAGGAAACAGCATTTGAATAAAAATTCCTTAAGTCATAAAGAAGAAACAGAATGATTAGCAGCTCTGTCAACGTCAGAATTTCATGGACTGGGACTCTCTTATCCAGGCAACCACACGCACCACAGATGTCCCTACAGACTGACCTATTCTCTCCATTAGAGGTGACAATCAGAACACGGACCTGATCATTTCAAAATGGAATGAGATATCTGGAAGTTTTTCATATTTTCTTGCAATATACTTAAAATAAAAATTCCTTACCAAGAAGTTCCAGTTGGCATCAATCTGAGTCACCGTGCCAGAGAGGAACACACCCAGGAAAAGGAGGGAGAAGAAAAAAGCTGTCACGGACACAAACATGACCCATCCTTGTAGCAGAGGTAGAGGAACATTGGAGGAGGCAACCAAAATCCAGACGAGACCGCCAAACAGCTGAAAGAAAAAAATAAGAGGGTAACAGGTTGGCTTAAAAGCTATCTTCTGTGTAATAAAGTCAAACATGTTTGCATCACCCTCACAATTCCCCTTCTATTCTCCTCAGACTCCTGCAAACATTTCTGCAATCCTACCCATCATATTTTTTTTATGCAAGATGCCTTCATTCTTCAGGTGCACAACCAGTTCTTCCACTAGGAGCCCTGATCTGATGCCACACCTGTATCTCCAGACTGGACTCTTCCCCAGCTTCTGAACAAGCCGGGCATTCTCTCATCACCTGTCTTCCTTTGACTGCCCCCACTCCCTGCCCCTTCAATTACTGTGCTGCCAATATATTTCCCTTTTTGGTCAAACCTTTCCCCAAATTCATCTTTGATTGGTCTCCACTCTCTCCCCTTGCAGTGACTCTTTAAACCACTATAAACAAGCTTCTCCTCTCACCACTTCTTAAAGAGCATATTAGCAAAGAATAGCTATCACTTTACTTCTCTCTGACAAATTTGTTGAAACCAATGGTCATTTTTCAGTCTTTATCATCATGACTGTACATTTGGTAATATGGCCTATTATGCAAGATCTTCTAAAAGTTCACAGAAATACTATGAAAAAATATGCATGGATTTCAATAATTTTGCATCAAAATAAGCTACATTAACTCCATTTTCCATGAAGTTTTTGAAATCCCTTATATAAAATAATTGTTGCAGCTGTTGTACGTGATGGTAAACAAAAGCTCTCATTTATTAAGATTTGCCATGTACTCATGATGAGGGAATAAACACTTTAGATATCCATGGATCTAAGTCAATAAATACCTACTGTACATTAGGCACTGTGTCAGGTGCTGGGATTAGGGGGCAAACAAGCTACACTTGGACTCTGTGCCTACGGAACTCAGCCTATCACTATAAGAGACAAGAAAGCAAATGACACTGCTTTGTGTCACAATTGGGCAAATATGGGTCACCGTGGGTCCGCACAGCCAGGATCCTACATCCAGATTTGAAAAGTCAGGAAACACATCCTAGAAGCAGTAGTCCAAGGACAGGGCTGGGAGAAGCAGAGGGAGCGGAAGGGTATCCTAGGGTGGGAGATGAGTTCTAAGATGATGGGTTGGCAGCTCAGAGCAAGCCAGCATGGGCAAAGAACAGAGCGCAGAGCCACATGAACACAGTAGGGACAGAACGGTGAGAGCCTAGAGCTAGAGACTGAGCTGAAGAGACCTGAAGGTCAGCTAAGGAGTGAGGGGCCAGAACTAGCATGAGCAAGAATTGCATTTAGCAGTTTCTTTCTGACTAGGGGAAAGAATGGAGGGCTGAAAGACCACAGAGGAGACCATGACAACAGAATGTAAGCTAGGCTCCCAGCATTGAGAAAAAAAGAGAAGAGAATGGAGTAGACAGAAATAGGATCATGACCGTTGGTGATTGATCTTGATGAGAGGTTTGATGGGGTGGGCGCACATCTGAAAGGTCCTTGGCCTGATGCTGTCTGTCCCAGAATGTCATTCCCTCTCCACGTGTACTTGGGAAACTCCCACTCACATCTAATTTTTTTTTTTTTTGAGAGATTTTCACTATAGGGCGCGTGCGCTCGCCAGACAGACAGAGAGAGACATTAGAGACAGAAAGCGAGAAATCACCCCCCAGGGGGGATGGTCACGCCGCAATCCCTTCTCCTCCATTCTCCTCTCGGGATCTTGGGCACGCACGCACACGCGCCCGGCGTGAGTTTAAGCCAGCGGGTCCGGGACGCGAACCGCGGTCGACTACGTGGGAGTCCAGCGTCATAGCCATTACGCTAACTGCTGGTTCCCTCACATCTAATCTTCAGCACATCATCTAACAAAATTTTTCTGAGTTCTACCCCATGTCCATGTACCCCTCCCTTCTCTGGGCAACCTCCCTGCTAGAGATTCATTACTCCAATGAGACACGGTGTAACTGAACCCCTTTGGCTCTCAGTCCATCTGCACTATAAGACCTTCTTGGTAACATCCTGCTTTACATGTCTGCGTCTCGAGTCACTTATTAATCCTGATAGCCTTTTCATAATTATCAGGCACTCTGCTAGATTTGGCAACACAAAAACCTGGGCGATCTACCTATCCTAAAGGGACCTCATGCAAATTAAAATCTCAGTATCTCCCTCCTTTTGTTTTCTCTCTCTTATGCACACACACAGTTCTCAAATATTTGCTCCAAATATTAAAAACCATCTGTATCTTGCTTCTTAAGTATTTAGATAATATACACATTGCACAAGTCACTGAAAGTGAGAAACATGTTTTAATTCAAGTTTTATATAAAGGCCCAGTCGCAGAAGTTACTCCAAATACTTTTTTTAAAGGATTATTTTATTAACTTTATTTATTTATTTATTCAAATTTGATCGGGTGGGGGGTGGGGGAACAAGCCACCAGGTCCAGGACTCGAATTGCGGTGGGCCATTTGGAAGCCCAGTGTCTTTAACCACCATGTCACCTGCCGGCCCCTCCAAACAATTTTGAAAGTATAACAAATTGCCACTTGGTCCAGGTGTGGTGGTGAGGCAGTAGGGTGCTACTGTGGGAATGCCCCAGAATGATCTGAACACGTTGTGTGCATCCACAGCTGGCTGGAGTTTGGGGAACACACTATAATGAGATCCTGTGGGGTGGGGGGGAGGGTGTCCTGTCTTTTTCACTTTAACTTTTGCTATCTCATGGAAAAAATAAAAACAATTTAAAAAAAATGATTACTTGAGCAATGATAAGTAAATCACCAGTCTAATAAATGTCTAATTGTGGTGGTATATTGTAAGTCCTAATTTCAGGTCAAAAATGAACCATTAGCCTAGAAAGTTTTATGAAATAAACCTAAATAATGAATATTAATGCATGCTAAAAATTTTAATCAGCCTCACCTAATCAGTACTTATGAAAGAAAGAAACTCGTACTTGGTAAAAGAGCATCTACTTTTTCACACCAGTTGCTAAGTATTTGAAGGTGTATATATTTGAAGAATGACTTCAATGAATCACTTTTCTCCCCCAGTTTCTTATTTCTTGTAGCCTTTATTTACTATCACACTAAAAATAGCCAACACTACTTCAAATACAATTTAGGAAATGTACATCATTGTTAAGTATCTCTTAGGAGTCATTTACTGAGTGGGCTGGCCCCATAGCTCAATGGTTAAAGGATCAGGATCCCATGTGGCTGACCTAAGTTTGAATTACAACCCCTGTGGCTTAAAAAGCATGTTGGATGCATGTGAATGCATGCCTAAAATCCTGACAGGTTGTAGAAACAGGAAAAAGAATTGCAGAATGACCATGCCCCATTGGGGGCACCTTCTCGTTCTCTCTTTTAAACATACTCTCTGACTATAAAAGAAAAAGAATCACTTATTGAGAATCTGTGTGAAAGCATGAAGGATAATAAAGAACAGTTGCCACAGTTTGGGACAGGCGGACTCAAACAGATAAGCATGATAACACACTTTAGAAACTGTGGTCAATTCACATCTCTAAAGAAGAGGCTATAGGCTCTTTTGGAATTAAATATACCCAAACTGGACTGCAAACAGGTCAGCCCCAAACCTACTGCTAGATTGTAGAAAATGCTCAAGAAAAAACAAGAAGGGCAAGGTTCCATCTCCAGGAGCTTTGAATAAGGGAGAAATAGAAACCATTAAATCTGATTCCGGAGCAGATTGTGGCCAGGGCTATAAAAAGAGCTCAGCACAGTGTGCTCTCAGAGAATGGGAGAGAGGAGAAGAAACAGGATGGGAGGAGTCTGCGAAAGCAGGCAGAGGAGGCAGGGCTGCTTTTAAGATAGAACAAGGCTTTGACAGGGGAAGCTAGCCTGTGAAACAGTATAGATTAACTGTTCCTGTACTCAAAATTACAGTCCTTCCAACACCTCAAAGGCTTGGAAAAGAAACTAAGTGCTTATTTGAAAAGGGATCAGATTTGTCTCATTTGTGGTGTGGGTGTTGCACGGAAAGAGGGAAAAAGGGGGCATATGAATGCTCCCACTCTCCCTCTCATATAAATATATGCACTACATCCCTAGGTCAGAGATTCTGTGAAATCTTGTGCAAATCCTACTTGTCAGGCTAGATCTGGAAGATGCAGGATGGGGCAAAAAACATAAAACCCCCTTTGGTGGGCCTCCTTCCTTATTTCAAGAGTATCATGCTAGGGTTGGACCCATGCCTAGTTGTTAAGGGAGATGGATCTCATATGGCTGACTACAGTTTGAGTCTTGACCCTGGCAGCTTAAAAAACATGCTGGTTACACGTGCATCATGTGTCTAAAATCCCAATGGGATGGGGAAATGGAGGAGATAGGATTATGGTGTGGCCATGCCTCATTGGGGGTGCTTTCTCCCTCTCCCTCTTCATCTTTCTGTCTCAAGTGAGTGCATGTGCTTCCCCCACCCCCATCAAACAAACAAATGAACAAAGAAAAAGTACTGGGCTGGTGTGTGGGTCACTATGGCCTTGATAAAGTTATTTTTCCCCAACTCCATGATTTCTTTTTGACAAAAGCAACCTTTCCTCCAAGCTTCCCAACTTAAAATTTAAGCTTTTACTAACACTACTAATAGGTTTACTCCAGGTCATTCCGGGTTTTAGGAGGCTCAGACTATTTACCAGATACAGTGTAACTATTAGTGGTCCTGGTTTAGTAGAGACTCTGGAGGGAGCCCTGTTCCAGAGGTGAGAAGGAAGGCATAAGCATGGCTAAAATCCAAGGGCACGTGGTTGATAAGTATCATAGCAACTGCAGCATACTGTGAAGAAAGGTGGTCGGGTGCCACGGTTCACCCACGCTGTTCCCATCACGAATCTGAAGCCACATTTTGACCTTTTGTCTACCACCAACTTCCCCTGCTCTCTAGTTTCCTAAAATGTCTCATAATTATGTAAAAAAAAAAAAAAAGCCAAATGCACCTCAATTTGAAATTTCTTTATGAAACTCAGCCAGGGCTCACAGCTTAGAACA